AGAAAAGATTACTTACGTGAACCTGAAAAAAAAAGCTAATGAGCCAGTTTGGAAAGAACTGTCCACCCAAGGGCATACTGGGGCATTTCAAAGAAAAGGATAAAATAAACTTTAAAGACAGATGATCTCACTGGTAATCAGGAAATTCAAACCCCAGAAGACTTGAAGACATACATAATCTGCCAGGACTCAGGGTTGGCAAGTCTGTGAAGTGATGGATATTTTCCTAGAGTTCTGGTGAGCACTGAAAATTGGCTTGAGGACCTTGGAAGAAACCAGGGCTGCCAGGTAAAGTGGGAGATGTACCTTTTGTACATGGGTTGCCACACAACAACTCCTCTCCTGGTTATACAAGCCTGAAACACCTTGCTCATCATCTCCAGAAGAGGGAAACAACAGCCATCATCCAGAAACAGAAGACACTGGAAACATCTCAGGGTCTAGCCCAGGAGAAATAAACTGTCCTGCATTCACAGAAATGGAATGCTCTATGTAACAAAAATGAACTACAGCCATATGCATTAATGCAGGTGATTCTGAGAAACATAATGTTGATGCTCAATAAACCACTGAAAAATCTAGGAAGTATAATCCCATTTTTATAAACTTACAAGATGCATTATTTGTATTTATGTCACCCTAAAGAAAAACAAAGAAGATACTATTACTATTATTCTGAACAAGCTTTCGTAAAGGGAGAAATCCAGACTTCAATGTTACTGAGAATGTTATTTCTTAGGCCAGGTAGTCAGTAAGTAATATTCATTTTATTATTTGTCAGTAAACAATATATCTATATCCAAGATTCTCATTTGTCTATAGTGTATAATCAATAAATATTTAAATAGCATTCTAATTTATTATGAAATGATGTTTTGGCTATCATTTACTGGTAAAGATGACCTATATTAAACGCTAAACTTATGTGTGACAACAAAGAATAAGGGTTTTGATAAATACAGAAATCCCTCAGACTTTTTGGTACATATTTAAATTAGCTTTGTGTTATGGAGCTGAAAGGTGTGCCAGAGAGTGAATCTTTTCTCTGCTGACTGCAGGAAGGTGTTCATTTTCTGTCTGGATTGAGATTGGCACCCTTTGGATGGGAAAGCATGGGAGGACAGCATTCCTTCTCCAATCCCTTAAGTGGTGTGTTCCCACGGGCTGCTTGAAATCCTCTTATTTACCTTCTGGGTGCAATCAAATTGTCCTTGTCGGTAAGCAGGTTTGAAGAATTTTTGTGTATGTAAGAGGATGGGTTCATAGTTATTGGAAGAAAAGTTGAGATAGAGCATGTTAGGATTTTGTCCTTCAGACATCCTTTAGAATCTGTGGAGAATCCTATAAACACTGAAACATTAATCTAAGGAATACACCAGGTTAGGATGAATAGTAAGACTAATGTTCGAACTCTGAAGACAGAGAGACCTCTAGATCTTAAATTGTTGATAATGTTGACTACATTCTTCAGCAAACATAAGAAGTCTTACAGAAAGCCAAGTATGGTGGCCCATATATGTAACCTCAAGAAAATACTCCCAGGAGGAGGCAACAATGCTTGATAAGAAATGTACTCATTACCTTGCCCATGTAATTGCAACCCCTCTGTATGGTATTTTCACAATTAAAAAAAAGAAGTGAACAAAATGAGGAATTACCCCCCCCCAAAAAAATAAAGAAAGAAAATATTCCAGAAAAGAGACTAGAAAAGAGAGAAAGAGAGACAATGAAATAGAAGAAGTGGTTAATTTGGAATATGATTTCTCTTGTTAGTAAGGATTTTGAACAAATAAACTATGGGGAATGATTATTTTCTAAGAAATTTTCTAACAATAGAAATGTGGAAGATGGAAAATGAGTAATTTCAGAGCAAGAGAGTTAAAAATAAGATCCTAAAGCCTTCCTATTAAATGTTGTTTGATAACATATTTCAAGTTTGGGATATAGATAGATAGATATCCACATATATATCTGCATATAGAGTGGTATATATGTGTGTGTGTGTGTGTGTGTGTGTGTGTGTATACTCTTATATATACATAGGTAAACATATAAATGTATATAAGGATAAATGTATAAATTATATATATATACATATGTATATGCACAAGACAAATGGCCACTAGCTTCAGTTAGATTGGTGCAGAAGTGATCAGCAGTTCCCTAAACAATTATCCAATCTGAGAAATGAAAACTCACCTCAGGTGATGAAAGACATGGAGGAATCTCTGCCATCTACCAAAGCTGCTTCCTACTAAACCAGAAGGAAGAAGCTAAGATCAGAACACACCCTAACAGCAGGGAGGGTTAGGAGATCAGTGTTGATGGTCCACACCTGTGGGACAGTCTATAGGTGGCCAACTCACCGGGTTCCAAAGCTCAAGTTTAACCTGGTCTTCCCAGTGGGACCCTGTCACTGAAACCCAGCAAGCAAATAAAATGGTTCCCCCCAAGCCAGAAGTCTCACAAGCCTACAAAGAACCAAGAAAGAGGAAGGAAAAGCTGGGAAAAGACATTTAACTGTACACACACACATACACACACACACACACACACACACACACACACATATACGTGCAATATATGTGTATTTTATTGGTTTCTGCATATGTATTTGTACATTTATGTGTATATATGTATGCATGTGCACATATTACATAAGGGAAAATATACTTACATATACACTTATCTCTAGAAGACCAAAGTGCAGATATTACATAAGGGAAAATATACTTACATATACACTTATCTCTAGAAGACCAATAGCCACTGGCTTCAGTTAGATTAGTTCAAGTGTGAGCAGCAATTCCCTAAACAATTATCCAACCTGGGAACTGCCAACACACAGCAGGTGATGGAGGAGATCAAGGCACTCTCTCCCATCTACCCACCTGCTTCCTACCATAACAGAAGCAACAAGCTCAGATCAAAACACACCCTAACCACAGGGGGTAGGAGCTCAGTGTTGATGGTCCACACCTGTGCTCACCCTACAGGCAGCAGATTCACCAGGTTCCAAAGCGCCAGTCCAACTTGGTCTTCCCAGTGTGACCTTTTCTCTGAATCAAAGTAAGCAAACAAAACAGTTCCTTAGCAAGCCAGTAGCCCACAACCCCAAAAGGAACAACAAAAGAGGAAGGAAAGACTGGGAAAAGACACTGGCTAGTACAGATTTGCATATAAATGTATATATATGTACGTAAAAACTATATATAATTATATATAACTATATATGCTTGTGTATATATATGTATGTATAAATGTTTGCACATATACATAGCTTAAAATACACACATACACACATAATATACATATTTATTCATTCATTTATATATTTATTAAACTTGAACAGGCAAATGGCCACTACCTTTAGTTGGATTGGTGCAGGCGGGATCAGCGATTCCCTCAGCAAGTGTTCAATTCCGGAAGTGCAAACGCACAACAGGTGATGAAGGACATTGAGATCAAATCGGCGACAATGGCCCTGGAGTTTGTGGAGCAACTACAAAAGTATGTCTAAGGTTACCTGTTATCTTTAAAGGTGAAAAATACAGAACCAGATAGAGAGGATCCTGTAAACAGGATGGAGACAAAGGGAGTGTTAGTGGAAGTTGCCAGTTGCACCATCCCCTGGTCCCCCAGGTCAGAGGGATAGTGGGGGATCTCTTGATACAGGAGGTCCGGACAAGAAGGTCAGAGCCGACACTTGGCCTTGGGAGTTGTAGGGAGGGGACTTGTGGAAGATCAGGCAAGGTGCATCATGGGAGACCACCTGCTAGGATGTAAGGGTGTGACAGGCTTGAGACAGGGAGGGGCTTACAGGAGGAACTGTGGGAAGAGGTGGGGCAGTAAGAGTTTATATAAGGCAGGCAGCTGGTGGGCAGGATCATTCTGGACTCGGCTGCAGAGAGGACCAGGAGGAAGCCTACGTGCCTCACAGCGACTGACTGGAAGAAGAGACCTAGAGCACGGTGAGTGACCCACGGCATTCAAGAAGCCAGGTGAGTGTCCTGGGTATCTCTGTAGACATAGACGGGGTTGGCAGAAGGATGGAGGCAGCCCAGTGGGAGTGCAGAGCGGTGAGGCAGATTCAGGAGCGCCTGGCCTCCAGCACAGATGCCGACGAGCTATACAAATCCTTGAGGCTGCTCTCAGTCATGCCCATCACGGCAGAAATCCTTGCCACCACGGGTGTCAGAGAGACAGTGAAGGGTTTTAGGAAGTACCAGCAGGTGGGCAGTTTGGCCAAGGAGCTGGCCAAGCTCTGGAAGACCTTGCCTGTGCTGAGGCGCAAATCAGAGGCTCTGAGCCAGGTTCCTGAGCAGGATGGCAGTCAAGAGCCCAGGAAGGATGATCTGGGAGAGTTGGAGTGGAAGCGGATGAGGGAGCCGGAGCCGGAGGACATGTTGAAGTCCTCAAATGTGGATACGTTCTCTCAGAGTAGGGCGAGTAACCCGCAGGATCCAGGAACCCAGGTGAGTGGGCCCAGCATCTCTGTAGACAAGGTCTGGTGTGGCATCGGGATGCAGAATGCCGAGTCTGTGTGCGGAGTTGTGCGGCAGCTCCAGGAGCGCCTAGCCTCCAGTACAGACATGGACGAGATTCTTCATTCCTTGAGGCTGCTCTCAGTCATTCCCATCACGGCAGAAATCCTTGCCACCACGGGTGTCAGAAGGGTAGTGAAGCGTTTTAGGAAGCACCCACAGGTGGCTGGTTTGGCCAAGGAACTGGACAAACACTGGAAGACCTTGGCTGTTCTGAGCCACAAATCAGAGGCTCTGAGCCAGGTCCCTGACCAGGATGGAGGTCTAGAGCCCAGGAAGTACTATCTTCGGCAGGGGGAGGGGCAGAGGGAGGTGGAGGATGGTGAGAGGGAGAGGGAAGACCTGTTGGAGGCATCAAATGTGGATCTGTCCTCTCAGAGCAGGGCGAGTGAACCCCTGGATGGAGGACTCCAGGCGTGTGGTTCCTGCATCTCTGTAGACGTGGCCAGGGGTGGCATGGGGACGCAGACCACCCAGTGGGTGTGGGGAGCCGTGCGGCTGCTCCAAGAGCACCTGGCCTCCAGCACACATTCGGAGGAGCTCCGCAAATCCTTGAGTCTCCTCTCAGTCTTGCCCATCACGGCAGAAATCCTTGGCGCCACGGGTGTCAGAGAGATGGTGAAGGGTTTTAGGAAGCACCCGCTGGTGGGCAGTATGGCAAAGGAGTTGGAAACACGCTGGGAGACCTTGGCTCTCCTGGGCTGCAACCCAGCGCTTCTTTCGGCGATTCTACAGCAGGTCTCTGAACAGGATGGCACTCAAGAGCCCAGGAAGGAGGCTCTTGGGCTGTCAGAGTCAGGGTGGGTGCAAGAGGACAAGTTGAAAGAGTCAAGTGTGGTTTGGGTCTCCGGGGGGAAAGAAACGGCAGGCAGGAGGGGAGGCCCCAACTCTGGGCCAGAGCCCCCACGGCCCGGGGAGCTGTGTGAGTTCCAGGGACCTGGCAAGCGGTCTGCCAGCCCTTGTCCCAGGAGCAGGCAGGAGAAGCGTCCCCGAGTGGACCCAGAGTCCTCTGGGGGCAGCAGCAAGTCTCATCGTTGGGTTGTGGACAGCTCTGGAGTCTCGCGGGACCCTGGGCCCACTGGTATCCAGGACATGCCTGGCAACGCGAGCCGTCCGGTCAAGCAGTCTCAGGATCCACCAGGGCTCCCACAAGAAGGTCTCCCTTGGGAACCCCAGGGACAGGCTGGGGCCAGACCAAAAAATGGGTGCCGATCCTCTGAAGAGGGGAAGAGAGGTTCAAGGGCCCTGCCCTCTAAGGTCAAGCAGACCTCTGGCAAGCCAGAGACGCAGGCAGCGAAGCTGCGCGGGCGCAATCACCAGAGCGAATCCCAGCAACAGCATGAAATCCACACACCTCCACAGTCTTTCGAGGATGCCCTCAACCAGACCCAGCTGCTGCTGAGGAGACAGAGGACCAAGGGCAGGATTCGTGCTGCTGCCTTGGCTCAAGGAGACCTGAAAAGGAATGGCTCCAGCGGCCCCAGAACACTCTCGGATTCCATGCACAGCTCAGTCCCAAGGGCAAGCGAGGTCCAGGAAAACCAGGCAGGACAGCTGGCTCCAACCTCAGCCACCAATCCAGCCAGTCCCGTCAATTCCACAGAAGCAGTCAGGGTGCCAATGGTGCAGCTCAGCACTGAAACCTCTAAGTTCCTTGGGCTGCAGGTCTATTCGGATCGGCTGCCTGACATGAAAAGGATGCCCTCCTTCTCTTCATCTAGGCCAGGAGCCTCTGGGCTCTGGGAAGTGGGAAAAAGGGAAAGAGAAGGGGAAGGAGGAGGTGTTGAGAAAGGGGTAAAGGGAGATGAAAGGGAAGGGGGAAGGGGAGCAGAAGGCAAAGGGGCACAGGGAGAGGGAGGGGAAGAGATGGCCTTGCCTTTTGTCAGAAAGTCCCTGAAGATGCCACTGTACTCTGGACCAACGTGCGACTCCCTGGCTCCCTGGTGCCCCCAGGATGTCCGTGGGCTCCCGCAACACAGCACTCCAGCCACTGCCAGGCCGCCCTGCATTCTCCTAGCACCCATTTCCCAGACTTCTACCCCGTCTCCGCACCAGCCTCAAGGGAACACTCATTCAAGGACAGTGGCGCACAGTGGTACAGACAGGCTGTGGCAAATCCGCTGTTGCAAAGCATTCAAGGACAAAAAACCAGCAGAGGGCGAGTCCTGGCGAGAGCTGTACCTGCGGCTTCGCCAAGAGCAGCGTGTGCAAGCAGCGAGCGCCTGCACAAGCCAAGAAGAGCCAAGGCCAACGGGAGCAAAGCTCTTAAACCAACCTCCAGAAAAGCCTCCTGGCCCTGGAAAAAGCTCCCGGGCCAGGACTGTGTTGGAAGGATGCTCAAGGGCCCTTCTCACTGCTTCTGAGGGACTGGGATAATGAGGAGAGTCAGCAGAGTCCTAAGAACAGAGTCTTAAACCACTGGAGTCTGTTCTTAGAACATCCAGGAGCACTGCATAAATGCATGAATGCAAAAGCTATATGTCTATTGTGTATATGTAGTAAATTGGTATTAATTTAATTGATTGGTAAACTAATATTTAATTGTATAACATATCATTTTAAATTCTGAAACTGAGAAGGAAATCTAGGGAATAATGGACAGTCACTGGGCTGGCCTTTGCTCACTCTTAGCCTGGGCATGATGAAGCTTAGGACACAGTCTGTGCCCTTGAGCGCAAGCAGTGACCTCCTCACTGCAGAGTACTCTGGTGACCTGCTAGGGACAGCACTGATCCTGCAGCCCTCTTTCATCTCCCACAACTGGACATGCTGTGTGCATATGTTCTCTTAAGGGCTGGAAGTCACAATATAGCTTAGGCTAATACTGAGCTGGTAAGTCCCACCAGCACAGCTAAAGATGAGATTTATTTGAAAAGCACTAATTTCTAATATTAACTATGCAATTTGTAGTGTTCAAATACAGTGGACAAATGATAGAGAAGAAAATGGAATCAGAATGAGTATTTATTAAACGATATGATGCATTATCATACCATCAGCCAAAGGAGCCATATGGCTGCCTGTGCAATTCCATGGCTTTTGCTGCAATCTCCCTAAAGGGTATCAGTAATGCTTGGCTCAGAGAGCACAACAGTGACTTACTATCCTGACTTCTCTAGTTTCTTGCTCTCATATTCACTCAGAAAAGCTGTTGTGCAACTCCCAGAAAAGGCTACACGTGACAGTTCTGCTGCACCAGTCAGTGTGTTTTTTGTTCAGGGCTGTATCACTGTGGGAGGAACATGTGTGTGTTGAAAGCAGTAATAAACACCAACATCCTCAGCCTCCACCCTGCTGATTTTCAATGTGAAATCTGTGCCTGGCCCACTGCCACTGAATCTGTCTGGGACCCCAGAACATCGGTTGGAAACCAAATAGATTAGGGATTGTGGAGACTGGCCTGGCTTCTGTAGGAACCAGTACAAATAGGTGTTTTCATCATTGTATAAGAGACTCTGACTGGACCTACAGGAGATGGAGACTGGCTCTCCCAGGGTGACAGGCAGAGAGAGTGGAGTCTGAGTCAATATAGCATCTCCACTGGATCCTAAAATAATTAGAAAAGTGGACAGGGTTAATTACAGGCATCATGAGACATTTTCACAATTATCTTATTGCAGGCTATAATTTTTTTTATTTTTGTTTCATCCAACAAAATGTTCATTAAATACATGATGATATCACACACACACACACATCAGAATTTGTAAAACAGCATGATTCTTTGCTCCTTCTGGAATCTTCCTCACTCTCAAAGACACATATGACACGTTTTGCACGAGTGGACATAACACACATGGGGAGCAGAGCTCAGCCCTTCCTCATCTTCTTCCTCAGCTCTAGTGTGTTCTTACCTGATACCCAGAGCAAGAGGAGCCCCAGGAGCTGAACAGGGCACCTCATTTTGAGAGTAAGCAGTGCTGGTCAGTCCAACCAAGCTTAGATATGAGCTTTTATGTTGTACTTGCAAGGAGCTCCTCCCTAGGGAGCAATATGCAAATGTCCTGGTTGTGCAATGGTGACAGACAAACTGTCAGGTGAGATGGAAACAGACACCGGCAGGGTGGGGCCTCTCCTGTGAGCAAATGACATTAACTGTTACCAAGTAAAGCAAGAGAAATCTAATGTGTGTTCCCTAGAAAGGGAATGCCTTCATGATTCCTCCTGCTCTTGTCTGCTGCTTAATTCTTCAACCCTTTCTGGTATGCTTTACAGTTTTCTTGATAAGGATGCATTTCCATAAATATTGAGTCATTCTTATTTATTTTCTAGATATTTGTTTAAAAGTTTAGGTCTGGTCATTTTATTTTGCTTAGTATAAATTATATGTAATGTAGAGAGCAAAAATAAGAAATGGAAAATGTTTAGCACAGATATACAATTCAGACAAACCATGGAATTCAGTATCAAGTTACTCAAAGGCCCCTCCTCCAGTCCATAACAGAGGCTGTAATATACCTAGGTGACAGTCCCAGCATGTGGCATTATAGTTTGTTTCCTAGACTTAACCATCACATGTGTTGAAGAGAGAACTTTTATTTGGTTTCAGCTTCTTGTTTCTGAAATCCTTTTGAGGTCGTCTCCCCTCATAGGTTCTGCACACTTCCTATCACTTCCATGGTTCTAAAAGGCTTCTAGTTCTGCCAGAATATGTCTGCAGATACCAATTTCCCTTCATTTGCAGTTAGAAAAACAATGGTTTTTTTTTGCCTTCAATTTTAAGGTATGGGGTCATGAATACAGTATTCTTGGTTGGCTTTTCTTTTCTATTGATTGTGACATATGCCATTCTACTATATTCGAACCTCAAATGTTAATGATAAAATTAATCCAGGACTTTATTGAATTTTCCTATGCAAATAGGCATAATTTTCTTCAAGATTCTCTTTTCCTGGATAACAGCTTTTTATATGTGTTTACCTCATTGTGATTCAATAGAATTCTTTAATGCAAAAATAAATCTCATTTTAAGAGTTATTTTTCAAATATTTTCAGCTTATTTTTATCTTTTGCTTTATAGATTTTTATACACAGTCTTACCATAGTAATCACTAAATTAACCGATAATTCTCTGAGGAATTATCTGTTCAATTTTCATTGATTTTTTACTAAAGAACTTATATGGTTATTTATTCACTGATTCTTCTGCCATAATCAAGTGCTAACATATCTATTTAGTGCATTGTTCTGTTGGGTTCTAGAATTCCCAAACCTGATTTTTACAGCAATGTAAATTTTTGCCTTACTTCTCCTCTACCTGTCCTTTCCCTCCTCTGTATTCTTCCTAGGCATTTTGTATTACTGGAAAATTTGTATATTTAAAAATTCAAACTTGCATTTGTTTCCCCTTTCTCTCTCACATGCCCATGATGGGGAAAACAAGTTTAACATACTTTCAACCCAAACAGGCAGTCACCTCTCATCTCTCCAACCCAGGAAGTTATTAAATCTCTGTCAGACAAACACAGAACTAAAGAGATGTGACAACAGTAAACCAAGAGATAAGAACCAATTGTGCTACCATTTAGTCTTGGGATGGACATCTTTCATGTAGCCTGGAGCAGACCCCTTGAGCAGCCTCTTAAAACTGGGACCTATTCTCCGATTAGTAGGATAATAGAGCTTTGATTTCAAATCTTCACTATTCTTCTCATTTGACAAGTGACAAATAATAAGCCTTATTTTCTTTTTCCTCAACACACTGCTGCCATTTTTTTGTGAATTAGCTTTGTGAATTCAGGGGACCAAACTTTGGAAACACAACAAAATAGAAACTCTTTTGAGAGAAAGAAATAACTTAACAAAAAGATGAGTGATAGTGTAAACCACCAAAATCATTTTGATACATAAGCAAACATTCCAAACACATGAGCAATCCTTGGGAAAATGTGTCCTTTCTTGTGGTTAAGTGGGAAGAAGCAACCTGAAAACTTCCTTCCTCATTGTAACAGCATTGGAAGGACACAATATAGATTAGATATCCATCATCTATGGATGTCATTCGTTATCTAGACATAACATTCTTGAATGTTTTTATTCTGAATAATCTAGGACTACGGCTGAATGAGTTAGTGAGATGTAGTCTTCAGTTAGATGTTAGTTACTCTGAAATGGAACTCCACCACCATTCCTGGAAATCCTCGATGCCAATGCTCCCTAGGTTTCACTGGAGAGACTTCAATGTCACTTGAATTGGGGCTCTAGAGATTCAGTTAGTCTTTATTGTGCTAGATTTTCTGTTTACTCTTTGTTTATGAGGCATGATAAAAACAATCATCCTAAATTTTGAAAGCTGGAAGAAGGGGAAGGGAGAGCTAAGGGAAGTTAATCACTTAAAAGTTAAAGGCCCAAAGAATGAAAGTTTGACAAAAGCTTTCTGAAAGTTAATTGAAATACTAAAACCTGAGTAGCCACTCACACATAAATTAGAAATCTTTAGTAACAATGAATTTATAGACTGCTAAGCCCAATCAATCCCTAAACACCAAATACATTGTTTACAAACAGCCACACTTGACCGCTGTACGTACAATCTAACTTGTCTCATTTCTAGCTAATATAGAATTACTGCAAGAACTTTTCGTGAAGGCTGACAAAAATGCTCTTGGTGTTTAGATCCAGAGAAAAATGGTCCTACTTCTATTCAGTATTTTCACTGATGGATGTAGGAACTTATCCTAGGACATGATGTTTTTCTTTTGTTATGTGTCATGACTCAATAAACCATTTGATTTCACAGAGACTAAAGTTTTCACAGAGACAAAAGCTTTAAAGCTTTAACAGGCAGTATCTCTTTTTATGGCTAATGTCTTCCCTGGTCATTGTTGGGATGTATTGGGTAGAAAGAAATGATAGTCAAAGAGGAAAGCTTGTCTTCAAATTCTCATTTCCAGTTGGATCTCATCTTCTTCAATTGTTAATTTCCTGGGATCTGGGAAACACCTGCTTCACGATCATAGAGGAAGGAGATGCCCTGTTATCTTCCCTAAACCATTGATTTCCTAAATCATGTACTTTCATGATCTTATTTGAATAAAAAGAAAACCCTTTCTTTTGTCATGAGATGAGCACTATGTATGAAGATGACAATGGTGCTTCACATAGTATTTTGCTTCCTGGTTCCAAAAAAGGAAAGAATACAAAATGTTTTAGGAATTCTTCAGTGTTCTTATGATGTACTATTTAATGTCTCAGCTCTTTTTCCTCAATCACATTTCTGGTCACAGAGATCTGGGGTCCTGTAGATGAAAATTGTATGATTGGTGCTTCTTTAATTTATAATTTTAATTCATTACTTGAGAAACAAAATTCCAAACTTCAGTGTATCAAATTATGTTCACCTGGATATTCAAGAATTATATTTGCATATTATTTTT